CAAGAACTATGCTAGGGGCTTTATGGATATCTCATTTGATCTTCACACCAACTCTGGGAAGTAGGTGCTATTATTATCCCCATTTTACAGATAAAAACAAAAAAACTAAGGCAAAGAAGATAGGTGATTTAGCCAAGTCACATAGCTAAAAGGTCTGAAGCTAGATTTGAACTTGGGTCTTCTTGATGTCAGGCCCAGAGTTCTATCCACTGTGCCACTTAGCTTCAGTTTGTTTGTCTGTAGAGTGGAGATAATAAAACTTGGGACAGATTTGGTGTGAGCAAAGTGTTATACACATGCTAAAAAGCAATGCATGAATGAGGAGGGGGATAAGACAATAAAATAATTTGGGAGTGTGGGGAGCAGAGGGGGAGTGACTGACCTTATGGGAGGTAACCACAGAGTACATAGAGAATTGATGCCAATTACCAGGCAAGTAAATTAAAAATTACAGGAAAATAGTGTATGTAACTGGAACACTGAATGTTGTAAGGGAGAGTACACTCAATCCCAAACGTATGGATTTTTACCAATATAATATTTGTTTAAATAATAACTAACATTTATATAGTGCTTACTATGTGTCAGGCACTTTGCAAATATTATCTTATTCAATCCTTACAACAACCTTGTGAGGCAAGTGCCATGATAGTTTCAATTTTATAGATAAGGAAACTTAGGCGGTTAATGACTTGCCTGTGGTTACACAGCTAGTAAGTGTCTGAGGCTGGACAGCTTCCTGGCTTCAGCTTTGGCTCTCTAGCAACTGAATCAGCGAGTATTGCATTAATTAATAACAAAATAATAGCTGACATTTATTTAAGCTTTACAATGAGTTTTTCATATATTATGTTTTGATTTTCATAACAAACTATGAAATAACTGTTTCCCCCATTTTACAGATGAAGGAAATCAAGATCAGAGGGATAAAGTAACATATCAAAGCATAGAACTGCTCCCATTTGGTAACAAAAATGAGTGCATTCTCAAATAAATAACAGTTTCCAGTGACTGCTAATACACATGACACAAGGACAGGTTTCTGCTTCCCCATACACACACACACACACACACACAGACACACACACACACCCCTTTGAACTCCGAGGGCCAGAAAGCTCTTTGAATATCCTACAGGGTTTATGCCAAAGGACTCTATATGCAAAAGATCTTTTTTTTTCCTGAAGCATGTAAAAAATTACTCAGCCTTAAAACTTTAGGCCTTAAACTTAGTTCTCAAGTTGTCCCTGCATTACAAGCACTGCAGTTGGCATAATCAGCAGTGCCTGACATGATACCAGGACAAATTGGGGGGAGGGGTTAGCTAAAACCAGCCATGAGTCTTAATTCTGAATTTCCTGGCTTGATTGTATTTTTCTTCAGACATTCAGGCAGACAGTTGTGGAGGGTGACTCAAAGATTTAGTCATCCAACAATTCCCATTAACTTTAATGGGACTTAACACAGCTAAAATCCCCTTTCTTTCTAAAATGATGCAATGAATACATCCTTACAATGCCTCATGCTCAGCGTAAAGGGCAACCTGTTTCTAATCATTTCCTTGTACCTTATGTTTATCTTACCAGTATCCTTGAAAAAATATACTAATGAAGTTTTAGTGCATGAAATTTGGCTCTATAAAAATGTCACAAGAATTAATGCTCCTTACACAGAAGGTTCATTTGCTGACCTAATACACTCTTCTGAGAGCTTATGCAGAAGTTCACAGCACCTGATATAGAGAAAAATTACGTCAACCTATGGATTTCTAGAGGCATTTATCATGACAGAGGCCACAGTGACTGAACCATATAAATAAACTAAATGCTAAAAATCATTTTGATCAGCATTTATTTTGTTAGCCCCACTTCACTGAGGAATTATATGCAGGAGGTAATGGATTTTGTCAGTTTCTTCCTTAGTTGGGTTTGCTTTTCCCACCATTCAAGTCACAAAGAAACCAATCGGACACAACAACATATTTGGGGCTTAAGTTTCACATCAGCTAATAGTAAAATAATGAGTAATAAGCATTTATAAAATATTTTAAGATTTGCAAGGTATTTTACAAATGTTGTCACATTTTATTCCCACAACAACCGTGGGAAGTATGTGCAAGCATTAGTCCCATTCTATAGATGAATTGGGTAAGTTCACATAGGTGCTAATTGAGGAAGAATTCAAACTCATGCCTTTCTGATTCCATGTCCAGCACTGTGAAAATTAACTGAAAGATTCATTTTGGCCCTTCTTCAATGAGTTACTCAGAGGTAGGATTAGCCAGTGACATAAAAATTGTCCAAGGATTGTTGCCAATCATACTATCAACATATAGAAACATTTTAATAATCAGTTTACTACATGCTCACAGTATATTTCCATGGTATATGCAAATCAGTGGGTCTTCAGCAGTTGTTTCAGCAACCTTATGTAGATTTTAATTTCAAAGTAGGACCAACACAATGATATTTTACAGAAGGCCAAAGGAGGAAGTAAAGATTTACACATCACAGAACCCATAGCAAAAGGGGAAGATTTACAATAGGCAAAATAATAAACTATTCAGTAAAGACTAGTGATAAAGCTGGAATTGCAGACTAACCAATAACACCTGAGCTATACCTACTTATCTGCCATGCTAATATTACGTAAATAGAGGTGATAAAGCTGATCCAGAAATACTTTTATCACTTATCAGTTAGCCACTGGAACCAAAATTTTATGTTTCAGCTAAATTCTGCAAGCTCTAGTTTGTAATGTGACTGGCTTTCACAAGCAAATGACATGAGTAAAACCAAACCAGAATAATTTTCAAAGGACACCAGTCAATATAAAGATGAACTTGAATTAACCAGTCTTGCCTATTACAATATGACCTCCTGAGAGCATGGGTGGATCTTCATTTTCTATATTTATCCCTGGCATTTAGCACAATGCTTTGCATATAACAAGTAGTTAAAATGCATTTTCATTTAATCATTGATAATATTCCATAAAACTTCTCAATTTATTTCATTCAAACTATTTATTTTCCTAGTGGCAATAGGTCACCTGCATTTTAGTTACTGATTTACAATCTATTACAGCTCTCAAAAGAAAACATCTGAACTTTTCAAACTTTGTTCCTGCCCACAGTCCTAATGTTTTGCATACAAATGATGCTCTCCACACAATAGGTGATTCAATGTTGTCCTTCAGTTATCCTTCCCTCTCACCACATGACTGACCCACATTCATTTTCAGTCTCTGATAACAGCTTCATTTCACTTCTGTCCCATAATTCCTGATTGATAACACATTGCATCCTATTCATAGCAACCATGCATCTCTCGATTTCCCTTTGGTTGACACTGTGATGGGTGGGAATAAACTACAATACATTATACACTCAATATTGGACTAATATAATTAGGAATATAATCCTTTCATTCTTAAGCACAATATCTTTGCATGAAGAACCTGATAAGTTCCTCAAAATTAAGTCAAAATACATTTTAGTAAGGTGACTTCAGTGCAAAAGTAATCATAGAAGGGAAAATGAAATAATATTGTTCAGGATCAAGAAACATATGACTGTAGATTACACAGAAGCATCATTGTATGAATAGTTAAGTAGGAGACTAGAGAGGTTTAAGACATGATAAACAACAAACAATGTCATAAAAATGAAATTACTTCATTTTGATAGTCAAAAATTGACTACCAAGGTTCAAGTCATTTCCAATTCAATATGTGCATTTTGAGTAAAAGTTGAAATCAACAAGTGAATTAGAAGAAAGTATAAAAATGAAAAGATAAGACAGTTGATGTAACTCCAGACTGACATTTAAACAATGGCAAAAACAATGAATATTGCCATGGACTATCTATTACCTTTTCCTTGGGAAGTTTAGTGTAAAGCAAATGCCCTAATAACAATGCCAAAAGAGCCTAGAAACCACATCAGTCAGAAAATGACTGATTTCTTTGAGAATTGGAGAAACATACTGGTAGTTCAAGTGAAGACTGACTCAGAATACAATTTTAAAACTTTCCTGAAGTTGAGGCCCTTCATCATTCTGATTGCCTTCCTTTGAACATTCTCCTTATTGTCAATGTTCTTCCTAAAGTGTGGCATTCAGAAGTGAACGCAATATTTATGCTATGATCTGACCAGGGCAAAATACAATGGGTTCATCACCTCCTGATTCTTGAAAATTGTGTGTGTTTTCAGTGCAGCCTATGATCACATGTCCTTTCCTGGCTGCCATATCATAATGATATCTCAGTTTCAATTTATTTCAGTTTATAACTTATATTCTGCTGGGGGAAACATGTGCAGAGATGAGCAAAACCAAAATTCACAAAATCAATACAGGTGGCAGGATCAGGAAAGGCCTCATGATGGCATTTGAGTTGAACATTAAAGAAATCTAAGGATGTAGAGATGAGGAAGGATAGAATTCCATGGTTATTAGTCTGTGCAAATGCAGAGTGATAAATGATGGAATACTGAGTGCATAGTCTATCAAAACTCCATCTTTTTTTTTCAGGTGAACTTCTACATAGTTACACCTTCTCTGTCTTGTACATATGAAGTTAATTTTTGGACCTGAAGCATAAAACTTTCCATTTAACCCTAATGAACTCACTTCACTAACTTTTAGCCCAAGATTCTAACCTGCCAAGATCTTTTTGAATTCTGACCTGCCTGAGCTTTCTTGATAAAGTCATGCTGGCTCTTTATGATCTCTGCTTCCTTTTGTAGGTGTTCTCTTAACCATACTTTAAACAATACATTCTAGAAGTTTGCCAAGAATCAATGTCAAGCTCACTAAACTTTAGATTGCATATTCTATGTTCTCCTACCCATCCACTAACATTTCTTTTTGAAAAGTGAGATGTTATTTGTCCTTTTCCAGGTCTGTGGTACCTCTCCTGTCTTCCACAATTGTTCCCAGAAGTCTATGATTCAGCAGTCACATCTACTAGTTCTTTCTGCACGTGAAGATATAGCTCACCTGGTTGAGGTTACTTGAATTCGCCAAGCAAAAAGATATTCTCTTGTTATCTTCTCACTCATCTTGGACACCAAATTCCTATTAGACATGTCCATTATATCTCTGCAAGTTCAAGGATCATTCTCTTTTGCAAAGCAGAAACAAAACAATAATTAAGTAGCTTCAGTTTCCTCCTTGCAGTCAGTTATCATCATTCCACTAACCCAGAGCAATAATCTTATGCTATCTTGGATAACTCCATTTCCCCCCAATATACCTAAAAACAAACATAAATTCCACCCTTTTTCTCTAGTTAACTCTCTTTACCAGCCTTGGTTGTATTATTAGTTTGAGCACTCCTGACATATTCTGATAGCACTATGAGTTCTTTCATGTGTATGCTCCTAATAGTTTCCCCCCCCAAGTCCCTCCCCCATCTTTTGCATATGTCTTTTTAAAATCTAAGTTTGTCAGGGAGTTCCCACTGAATCCATATAAGTCTCTCTAGATAACTCTTTCTTTTCCTTCTCAGAAGAAATGTTTCTATTTTTCCTTCAAAATTTCAATTTTGAGCATTTCATATCTTAATTGTATTGTCCTGTCCATAATTTCCTAAAACCTTTTTAATTCTGCCATCCAAAAATTTAGAATTAACTTCCCTCTCTCTTGGCAGAGGGGTACGACTTTGAGTTTGGAACACTGCATTTGTCAGTATTAGTTAGTTTTACTGAACTCTATCACTCCATTATTATTATTATTATTGTAGTAAAGAATAGGTCTCTGGGAGGAGGTGAGGGGAAGGGACATATTTGAAAAATTAGACATCAAATGACCAAAAAGGATGTCTTTTTCCAAATTCTCTAAAAACAATAGGAACCATGTGACAAAGGTAGAAATAATTACAATGCTCTCTTAACTCTGTCCAACCAAGGGTTAAGGAGGGAATAGTATAAGAGGGAGGAAGCACATGCCTTCTGCCTTGGATTGGGGATCTCTAACATAGCCAAAATTGTGCTGGGAATGACCAACCTCCCCCAAACCTGCAAAAAGGCAGATTCTGACTTATTACAACCAAAGACCTGAAGAGAGGAAACTGGGTCCACCATTCCAAAATAGGATTTAGAAGATTAGAAAGGGGATTAGAATCCATCTGGTACAAGTACTATCTTCTCAGAAGCTACTTGGGGCAGTGAACAAGGCCAATGAAAACGAAATCCCTTAATGTGGAATAAGGCTGATATAACTTCGAGGTCCAGCTCTAAGGGCAAATCCACCATCAAAGGAGGAGAGGACAGAAAGCAAACAAGAAATACTAAAGAAAAAAGAATGAAGCCACCAAAAATCTCAAAAGGAAGAAAATTCAATTAAAAACCTAGGGACAAAGTAGATAAATCAATAGGGAATAAACACAAATTAGAATAAGAAAGCACACCAAAACATCTAAAGAAATCCAAACATAGGTAAATACATATTGCAAGACAAAAGAAATTAAACCAAGGTTTAATCCAACACACATCCTTGTGGATTCCCAAGAGAGCATAAAGAATTCACATGAAGATTTTACAGGATTTTTCCAGAGAAAAATCAGAATCTTGAGAGAAGTTAGAAGAGGAAAATGGCAGAATGTGTGACCTATAGAGTAGAAACAAATAGCAGAATATAGTAACTTAAACTTATAGCGGTGAGTCTGTCCAAGGAAGTGAAAGAAAGAACAGCAGATTGAAAATAGAAATATGCTGAAGAGAAAGACAATATGAAAAAAAGAAAAGCAAGAAACAAATTATGATAAAAGGACACCTGGACTCTACAAGTAAAACATGAATTTCAAAGAAAGGATGCAGAGGCAACTTAAGAATCATGACAAGTCTAAGAACCTGAACAGTATAAAACAAAATAAAAGAAAGCTGCCTAGCACTCCTGAATGTACCAAGCAAAGTGCCAATCAGAAGAATTCACATATTGCCTGCAGAAAAAGAGCCCTTTCCTTTACACTTTAAGACATCTGGTGATTCCATTGAACTCTTTCATTGAAACAACAAAGTATGCAAGTAATTAAGGGAGAGTCTTTCAAATATAAAGGAAATTAAGTGTCATGGAACACGATATAAAATAGAAGTGACTATCCACCACACTACCTAGCTATGTCTACAAGGTAAAAATAATGACCCCTGCCTTATGCTGCTTACATTTTTTACAAGGTTATGATGAGGAACTATTTTCCTGTTCTGACTTATGAGGAATTTTCAAGTACTGAAAACACTTTCTAGATTTTGGTTCTTTTATAGTACGCTATGTATACACTAAAATGGGCAGCTAGATGACTCAGTGGATAGAACACTGGGCCAGGAGTCAGGAAGACCTGTGTTCAAATTCCACCTGAGAGACAATGGCTATATTACCCTAGGGAACTCATTTAACCTTTTTGTCTTAATGCACTGGAGATGAGAATGACAAATTGCTACAGTATCTTTGACGGGAAAACTCCATGGACAATAGGACATGAAGAGTCAGACGTGACTGAACAACACCATACACTAAAATATCATTTAATTTTCAAATATAATATTACAATATTGATGTAGGGTCAGCCACTGTCTTCTTTATTGCTGGAGTTTCTTTTGTCATATCTTCTAATCATTTTCAGTCTTCCATTTCTGTCTAGATTTTTCTCCCAGGATGCGCTAGACTGTACAAAAACACTAGTTTTGCCTTTGGCCCTTCTGGACCTAGTCGAGGACTCTTGTTTCAGGGACAAGACTTTTACTGCTTACTATTTTCCCAGCATTCCTTGAGCAGCAAAACCTAACTCAAATACCATGCCTTTTGGCTTTTCATGACTGCTGAACCCATTTGGCTTCCTCTTGTCAGATATCAGATGCATTCCAACTTCAGTTACCTCTACCTTTATTGCTGTTGTGACCTGTTCTTGAGGCCTACTTATACTTCCTCCTTCACTCCACTTTTCTCAGGTGCTAGATATTGCAGGGAAAAAAAAAAGTGGGTATGTTCTGGAATTTCTTTACCTGGGAGAGAAGAATGTAAAAACTCAGGAATAAAACAATAATAATAAATGATATATACATATTTAATTACAAGTGTGCTTTTTTTCAATGAACCCTCTAATCCCTGCAGAATAGGTAGCTTTGACCTTCAAAGCTTGATAGGTGCTGACTTCCTTTCATCCAAATTCTGTTTAGGAGTGCCTAGCTCCCTCATGGGCCTCCTGAGGAACAGCATCTTTTGTCTCAGAACACACCAAGACAATCAAGAAATTCATCCACCTTAGTTCACTGGATTGAACTCATGTGACTTTTAGACAATTTCAGGCTTATTTTCAGCCAACTAGACTTAGCCTAAGTTTTGGCTTTTTCCTATTGCTTTTATATTTCTAATTCTGCACTGCTAGCTAGTGGGGAATAATGATGATGATGATGATGATGATGATGATGATGATGATGATGATGATAATAATAGCTAACATTGATATAGCCCTTTAGACTGTTAGATACAAGTTTAACCAAAAGTCCATGCAGTTTTAAGCTAGCTGCATTGGTTCTGGGCATACCATGTATGTTATCATATTTGATATTCATAACCATTCTACAGATGAGGAAACTGAATCTGAGAGCTCAAACGATTTGCCCAGAGTCACACAGAGAGTGAAGAATATGTTGCAGTATTTGAACTCTGATTTTCTCCTGATACTCAGGAGTTGACTCTAAGTCTAACATTGTGCATACCACTTAGGTATCTGTTATATAATATTAACAATTAAATAACAAAATATTTAATAACAAATGAGTTAAATATATGCCAAATGAATGAACAGTATCCCTTCAAGTTTCCAAAATGTGGAAACTTTCCTATGTGACAGTAGAGTGGTATAATCAATAGAAAGCTGAATCTGAAGAAAGTTGTTTGAATGTTCCCTCAAAAATTTACTAGATGTATGAACTTGGGGAAGTCACTTATTTCCTCTCTGCCTCAGTTTTCTCATCTATAAAATAGGAATAATAGTAGCAACTACCACACAAGGTTGCTGTGAGGGAAAAAAAAACCCTTAGGTAATATCTGTAAAAAAAAGATACTTTGAAAACCACAATGGGCTATAAAATGCTAGTTTCTGTTATTATAACTTTTCATACCTTGCACTTGTACACATTATACTTAGTTTTCCTGTTTTGTTTTACTTTTTTAAAATCATCTTTGCAATGTATTTTAAATCTTCCAACATAAAGCCTACTGGGTAATATTTGTACATGTAAATAACATTGTTTTCTATTCAATCATCCAACAACAAGTGAAAATCTTAATGCTGGGTCTCACCCTGTGGTAATACTCAACCTAAATAAATCTACAAAGCCTCAGTTGCCATATGCATAAAATAAGAGCGTTAGACTAGATAATCTTTAAGATGCTGTAAAGTTCTAACCTTTTATGAAGTGCTATGTACTCAGCTAGTATTGGGGGCTGCCCTATGCAAACACAGCCAGCTAGCATTCATGCCCATGCCACCAAAACTAATCATCAGGGACAGTCATCTTCATTCTCTTGGAAGGTTCAAATTTCCTGGTTCATCAGATCAAGACCTGATATCATTGTGGTCTATACTACATTTTCCAAATTTGTAGATTTTGATTCTGTTAGAAATCCTAAATATTAATGAAGTAGAGCAGATTATATCTATTGCTTCCCTTCTTTTCAATCTATCAGGCTTTCCAACTGATCACAGAAGAAATTTAAGATCAGCTTCACACAACTTATTTTCTACAAAAGAATTAAGGCTTATTGAGTTCTCTCTAAGTTGCCTTAAATTAACATCTTCCCCAGTCTTGAAACTCTAGAGTCTCAAATCATTCACAATCTCCACATTTGTGCATGTATACATATATATGTATGTATGTATGTATATGTGTGTTTCTATATATATATACAGATATGCATATGGATATGTATTTATACACATGTTTATATGCACATATAAATACACATATATCCATAGATATATACATCTAGTTATATGTATATGTTTGTTTGTGTGTATACTAACTTCTTTCCCCCTCCAGTTTTTATTCATTACTATCAACTCTCAAGAATTCTCCAGGCTAGTCATAGTGACCCTG